TCTGTTTTTAACAAGATTGGCATTCCGCTGCTCCTGCCTACAACCTCCAAGGGAGTTCTCCAGAAGGTCACGGAGACGCCACTGCCCACACAGTCTGCATTCACTTGGGAAACGTAGGTCACTGGCACTGCTCCCACAGCCTCAGCGAAAGCCTGCATCACGCTGCTGCCCACAGATCCCACCACCAGCCGCTTACTGTGCCCACACTTTTCAGTCAAGGATTCAGATACATTTCCCTGCACCAGGATGAGGTTCACGTTGAACTGGGTCAACACCTGTAATACATAATTCGTCCACAGTTCTTCTGAGCTGTCTCCTTGAAGTTCCATGCTATCTAGTACTGTTTTAGTATTGGTGGACTCATTAAATCCCAGGTGGTGGTAACTCTCTACAAGGTCACCCTCAATGAGAACTACCCGGAGAGGCTGATTCTCTAATCCCTTGATCAGGGTTATACTAGCTATTGGTACAACAGTGACATACCCTGAACAAACACAAGACAAATTTTCGGGCAAGCCTGGGAGACAGCAAGTGAAGACTCTAGAAATATCAAACATAAATGGCACTGTACAGTTGCCTTGTTGCACACATGCCTTCTGATACTGCAGTTGTACTGCTGCTTCTACCAACTTCATGGTGCCAAGATCTCCATGGCTCAAACCCACTGCCAACTCTACCAAATCACAACATCTGTAAGTTTTGGGAGTCGCTGCGCTGTACTGTTCTAGAAATCCATCTGGTTTGCTTATCCAGAGACTGTTATCGGTCCTGTTAAAATGCCTACTGAGGATCAGTACTGACTTTCTAGAGCAGGTGTCTGTGTGCAGACTGCTCTTCAGACCTTGTGATGCCTCTTTACCTGCTTCGACCTTTACTGGAAGGTTGAAGAATTCTGGCAGTTTAACAGGTCTCCCAGAAAGACTGTAAACGGTCAATAGTTGAGAGGCAGCATGTTTGAAATCATGCTCTTTGGGTATCCCACCAGCACCTGAAGGGGCTTGTAGGAAAGGACAGGAACCAACATGAGGTGTTTCAAGTCCAGAAATGGTCCTTGAGTTGTGCACATGGTCAAATACGTTGTGGACTGGGACTTGAAGGAAAGCTACCTCTTCCCTGCAAGAGTCCAAGCCTTCTGACATCACTGCAGCGATTATGGAAACAGGAACACCCAGATGGAGGCACTCTTCAGCAGCCCTGCTCCACGCACCGACGAGAAACAAGAGAGTGCTGGTGCCAGTCCTATAGGTGTTGTTTTGTGCTTGAACTGCCTCATGGAGAAGCTGCCCCACTGTGCTGGTCAAATCCAAACTTTCAAGGAGTCTTACTGTTGAGCTGATCAACACACTTTCATGACAGTCCCCACCTGTAACAAATTTGGATGATTTCACTGGGCCCAGGAACGTTCTTCCTGTTTCTGCAAATGAGGACAGTTGTTGAAGTCCCACATGTCGTCTTTTGTTTATTACCCTGCAGGCCATCACAAGTCATCATCTGCAAATAAAATAAAAACTTGGAAACTTATTCAGTGTGATTCATCATTATGAATGCATACAGAGAAGAAAAATAAGATATGGTCCCTGCCTTTGAAGTACACATGGTTTCCATTAAATGTGGTCAGTGCAATGTGCAGTAAAATACTAATGACAAAGGTACAAAGACATGGCGGTGGCCACACCATTCAAGACGCAACACACACTGTGTGCAGAAGGCAGCAATCCCCAGAGCAAGCCCTGAAGGACTACCTGAGCGAGTCAGCTAGGTGGAGGAGGAAGGAGGTGGGAGGTGGCAGTAAAGTACACACACAGACCAACCCGTGGTGCTGGGGTAAGACTGGTTATCCTGAGCCATGGTGCTGTGGGCGCATACCGAGTACAGGGGGACCTCAGGAGACCAGCCTCCTGCAGAGGACAGAACCTGGATCAAGAAGGGCATAACATACTATGCCGAGAAGCCTAGCCTTGCTCCTGCAGTGGAGGCCACTGAAGAGAGCTCCCCAGCTCACTGTGGCTCAGCAGTAGATTGATAATAAGCATGAACCCCTGGGTTTAATCCCCAGTATCCCAACAGAAAGAGAAACAACTAGACATAGTGTTTGAAAGTTTGTACTACTACTTATTTTACTTTCCCGAGTCAGGGTCTGGCTAAGTTGCCCAGGCTGGCCTTAAACTTGTGATCCTGCTTCAGTCTCCGAGTCCCTGGGATTACAGGTGTGTACCACTGGCCGTCTCCTGAAAGCTTGTATATGTATGTCTAGATCTCTGGGCTTGAACTCAGCTCACTGCTTACTAGCTGGGTGGCCTTCAGCAACTTAAACATTTAACTACTCTGGCCCTCAGTGTGCATATCTGAAAATGGAGCTAATCACAGCATCCACTTTGTGGGGTCATTAAGACAGTACAATGCTCCAGAGGTCTAGAGTCCTGTTCAAGGAGCCTTGACGGGGATGTTCTGGACATGTTAGCACTGTGGTAACAGATTCAGAGGACTGACTGGCTGCATGTAGAGAGGAGGTGGAGAGGCCAATTAAGAATTTTCTGTAATTACCTTGGTGAGAAATGTGGAAGAGAGATGGAGGGAGGAAATGGATTTGATCAAGGATTACATTATAAAGGAAAATAAGTGCTATTTAAATGGAGGCTCAAGAGCAAGCTCAGGAGGCTGAGGCAGGAGGACTGCAAGTTCAAAGCTAGCCTCAGCAATTTAATTAGGTTCTAAGCAACATAGCAAGACCATCTCTATTTAAAATATTAAAAAGAGCTGGGGATGTGGCTCCGTGATTAGGTGTCCCTGGGTTTAATCCATAGCATGCATGCAAGCGCGCACACACGCGCACACACACACACACACACACAAGCAAGCAACTAACTCCACATAATACTTTGGAATCTGCACCCAAAATTAATAGGAAGTTACAAGGGAAGGACTTTAGTCCTATAAATAGAACTCCTGGAGTGCCCCCTAACTGAAAAGCCATCTATAAAACTGATGCCTTGGGAGGCATGATCCCTGGCGACTCAGCAGGGAAGCCGAGATCAGAGAAAATACAAACTTGCCCTTTGCTCTAAGAATCCATGATTTTTTTGAATAGTACTTCTTAATCACAATCTTTTAAATCTCAAACACTGAAAAGCAAACAACTCAGACTTTTGCTTTTCCTCCCACGCTGTCTCTGCACCCCACCTGGCCCCCCGCACTGCACCACCCCTGGAGAGTGCCCTGAGAGGGGCTCCAGGGCAGCAGGCGCTGAGCCCAGAAGCAGCTGGCGGCGTCCCAGGACTCGGAGGGAAGCTGGAACAGCCTGACAGACTCTCTGCGTTCAGTTTCAAGGCCTCTTTTGTGAATTTTCAATTCTATATAACAAAAATTTATGATATGGTCAGCACTATTCCTAGATAGCACCATAATACGTCAGAACAGCCCCAGGTTGAGGTTGATGGCTCCAACCTCAACCCTCCCAAGACTGTCATGTTCTCCGACCCACAGTGTGGTGAGGTTCTGCCGCACCACATCCGCCTTTTACCTCCTACTCCGTAACATCAACTCTCTACTTGCCTGTTTTGAATTCTACTTGTCAATTATTACAGTTGCTCCCTTGTACAAATATCCTTAAATTCAGCTCATCTGGATGAAGTCCAGCCCCAGCCACTCCGTGCTTGCCCCAGTGTAGCTGAAACACACACACAACCACGCTCACTGGTGTCATTTGAGGTTCATTGCCCCAAACCTCAAGTGGCCTTAAAACCGCCTCACAATATATTTCCCTAGTCCATTTATCTTTTCTTCTTTTAATAATTATTACTTTCTCTTATCTAAGAAAGGTTTTTTTCCTAACTCTCAGAAGAAAACTCATTTTTCTGTATTTCTTCTGAAAGCTTTATTGTTTTAAATTGATCTAAAATTCATTTAACATAAACTGAACCATTTTAAAGTGTACCACTGGCATTTACAGTGGCCTTCAGTACATTTGCAATGCTGTATAACTATTAGTTTCATCATCCCTAAAGAAGCCCTAGGGCTATGAAGCAGTCTCTGCCCCATTCCCTCCCAGACCTGGCAGTCACCACCCTGCTTTCAGTCTTTCAGCACTATCATTCTTGATACCTTACATAAACGGCATCATAAAACACCGATTCTCACTTGGCCTGTTTCTGAGGCTCATCCACACTGCAGTATGGACCAGGGCTTCATTCCTCTTTCATGGCTGAGCGACCTGCCTTCGGACAATCGCACTTAGCATATCCTCATTTCCATGGATGCACATATGAGTTCCTTCCATCTGCTGGCCATTGTGAATTATGCTGCTATGGACTTCCATGTACAGTGTGGACCTGAACAACTGTTTCCAATTCTTTACCCTAGGAGGGAACCTGAAGGGACTTTCTTTAAGGAACCACCACAGTGTTTTCCACAGCAGAACACTCACACCAGCCACGCACAAGGTATTGGTTTCCTGGGCTGCCCTACCAGATATCACAGAGCACCAGAGGCTCAAAACTACACACCCATGCTCTTACGGTTCTGGAGACAGAATCCAAAATCCAGGCACTGGCAGGGCAGTGAGTCTCTCACCCCCCAGGGAAGATTCTTTCCTTGCCTCTTCCAGCTTCTAGTTACTCCTGGTAACTTAATCTCTGTTTCAAATGGCCTTTCTACAATCATGAACCAGTTGGTGGGCCTAGGGCCTAGCCTAATCCAGTATAACCTCAGCTTCAGTGATCTCCCTCATTTCAAAAAACACCACATTCTGAAATTCTGGAAGGACATGAAGTGTGTGTGTGTGTACTGTTCAATCAACAGGACACTCAACAATACTTTTTTTTTTTTTTTTTGGTAAAATTAAAGACATCCCACTGATGTGGAGTGATCTCACTGTGCTTCTGACCTGCACTTTCCTAATGATGATGGGCATCTTTTCATGTGCTTGTTGGCATTTGTACTGAGGATTGAACACAGGGGCACTCTACCATGGAGCATTTCTCCCAGTTCTTTTTAGTCTTTACCTTGAGACAGGATCTCATTAAGTTGCCCACGCTGGCCTTGAACTTGCCATCCTCCAGCCTCAGCCTCCTGAGAGCAGTGGAATTTCCAGGAGCGCAGCACTGCATCCAGCTTCCATTTGTAAATCTTAATGGAGAAATGTTTTTTCAAGTATTTCACCCATTTAAGAAGCGCTGCTGATTTTCTTGTGTTGAGCTGCAAGTGCACGCTGGGTACTAGACCCTTATCAAACAACAGCAAGTGCCAATCAGGGTCCTGCACGCAGGGATCCAACTGTGGACACAAAAACGTGGGGAAAAAACCTGCACCTGCAGCTGACAAGTTCTTGTCACTTTCCTTCAAAATGCCTCATAACAACTGTTCATGTGGCATTTACATTTTATTAGGAAGTAATAAGTAATCCCAGAGGAGAGTTAAAGTATATGGGAAGATGTAAAAGTAACTGGCAAACCTGTGGACTTGGGTATTCACAGGGGAGTCCTGGAACCAGTCAACCAAGGACGTGAAAGACCACTGTATACAATTTGCAAACACACTCCCGTTTGCGGAAAACAAATGCAGTGATTTCTACATTGTTGAGGACATGCACAAGTTTTTAGTTTTGATGCAGTCCACTTTTTTTGTTTCTGTTGCTCATGTTCTTGGTGCCATATCATTCCACTGCCACATCCAAGATCATTCATATTTAACCAAACATCATCTTTAAATTATAAATTCATCCCTTAACAGTGTTGATCAATTTGGGGTTAACTTTTGTATATGGTATAAGCAGAGGTCCAATTTCATTTTTTGTGTGGTACTGGGGATTGAGCTCAGGGGCACTTGACCACTGAGCCACCTCCCCAGCCCTAGTCTGTATTTTATTTAGAGACAGGGTCTCACTGAGTTGCTCAGTGCCTTGCTTTTGCTGAAGGTGCCTTTGAATTCGTGATCCCCCTGCCTCTGCCTCCCAAGCTGCCAGGATTACAAGCGTGCACCACCAAGCCCAGCCCAACTTCATGTTTTGCATGTAGATATCCAACTGTTCAGCACCATTGGTTGAAGAGAGTCTTCTCTCAACTGAGTGGCCTTTGCATTTTTGTCAAATACCAACTGGCCATAGGTACATGGGTTTATTTTTGGTTTCTCAATCAATTCCACTGCCCCTGTGTTCACTTGGTGCCAGCACCATACTGTTGTGACAACACAGCTTTGCAGTACATTTTGATGTCAGGAACCCGGGCTGCAAACTTTTTCTTTACATTTATGTTTATAATTCATCTTAAACTGATTTTTGTAAATTACTGGAAACATTGGCTCCTTTTTCCTCATGAATATCCAGGTGCTTCAAAATAAACTGTTGAAAGGAATAGCTTAAAAAGACTGTTTTTGTTTGTTTGTTTTGCTTTTCATTTCTAACACATGTTGAGAGTTCACCGGGTGTGAGGCACTTACCAGGCCTATGTCACGTGGCCCTCACAGCAGCAGTGTGAGGTGGTACTGCCATCAGCCTCCTGGTGATGCGGAAAGGAGGCGTGATAATCAACACACACGACCTCGTGACTAGTAAGTAAAGGGCTATGGACTAGAACCCAGGTTTGTTCAAGCTACCAACTGCCTCACGATGCTGCCCTCGGGCTGCATTCTCTACCCACGGTCTCCATTCCTCAGGCCTCTGCCTTCTTCCAAGCCTGGTTAACACTCTTATCAGGCATAGGCCCATGTCTTTTTAAGATGTCTGCTTACGGTCTCCTTTCTGTACTGTCTGAACCACAAGGATATTAATGCACAAATGGAAAAATTCATGAGCTATTCCAAACTTAGTTGGTATGGAATTTATATGAAAAAAACCTTCCCAAAGAAGGCATACAATTAAAAAAACTAGTCTACATGCAAAATATCACATACAACTGCTATGAAAATAAATATTTACAAAAGACCTGTTTCAGCATCTTGAAGAACCTACTCCAACTTTGAGTAGTAATCTAAAAACAAAAACAAAAACAAATCAGTCTAAGGTTTCTAACTTTGGATGACCTTCTTAATTATTACTTTAAAGAAGCTGCAAGGGCCTACCATAAACACAAAAAAAGAGACTGAAAACAAGAATTCCTCACCTTCTAAGAGGCTGGGCATACAAAGGCAAAGACAGTGAAGGTGATGGGGGACAGGACCTCTGGCACCTTCCTGCCTCCTCCCTGAGTGACAGACCAGCAGAGTCGCCTCTGTTTATCCAGGATTTTGAAATCAGAAGGCATTTTCTTTTCACAAGGTCATGTCTAGTTTTGTCCGAGGTACTCAGCTCAACACTAAGACGCGTTTCTCAGGAGCGGCCTGGGGACAATCAGCCTTTCATCATAAAAATCAACAGTTTCCTCATCTCCAGTCTATTCCCAACACAGAGTCTAATCCTATCAACCCACTGTTTAAAAGCCTCTCAGAAAGTCGTGGACCTTTGTCTGACATAGGACTCCCTTCACTGATGGTGGGAATCTTGCAAAGCCTCCCCAGCTCACTGATACGAGAGTCCCAGTGCTCACAAGCCCCAGGAACATGCACTTCTTCCCTTTCCCTTCTGACTCCACCTCACTCTGCTTTGGCCTCCATCCTGTTCCTGGAACATGCAAAGCCTGCTCTCCACCTTAGGGTTTCTATTCTAGTTGTTCTCCCTTTCTGGAATACTCCTTCTCCAAGAACTCTACTGTTTCACCACCTTTAAATATTTTCTCAAATTTCCTTTTCAGTACAGCCCACCCTGAGCATCCTATTAATAACACAAACTCTTCTCCCTCTACACCCTGGATACTCTTAGTAGCATACAGTTTACTTATCATTTATGAACCCTGTTAGAATATAATTTCCAGGAGAGCAATTTAGTCATGGAAGTATCTCAAGTACCTACAGCATTGTTGTATACTTTACTGCAGGCACTCAAAAATTATTTGGTAAATGATTTTCACATTTGTTATCCCAAATTTGAGTACACACCTGAAACAAGAGAAAACAGATATCACTGTTTAGTATTCCTCCAACATGAATATAACTTTCAACTACCTTTGGAGTTGACTGATTCCTATTTGGCACTGCCTTAGTTGGAACCCTTTAATTTCTTTTAAAGAGGCTTCAGAATCATTCTGAAAAACTAAAAATAGAATTGGGTAAATTGGGTATTCCACTGCCAATAACTATTTATCTTGGAAAATAAAGTCTTCTTAACATTGTGCTGTAAAGTCTACACTCAGACTTTTTAAGACCCATCTCCCACCCTTCCTTGAAAGCCACATGATTGTGCCATACCACGTACCTTACTTTGTACATACTACACTTTGATTTCAACAGCCTATCCTCTTTATACCTCCTTGAATGCTCTATGGCTCTATGACCCAAGGCAAATGCCACATTTTGGATACAGCTTTCTCCAGTGCTGGAGGAGGAGTCCCTCCTTTCTGTGCTCCCAAGCACAGCCCCTGTGTTTATGTCTTGTCTATCTCAACCACTAATCTGGGGACCCTTGGTTTTATTCATCTTTTACACTCCACATGCAATTCCTTTCAAACTCAGTAGCTGACAGGCTGACATGTAAAGCAATAAATCTGGTAGATATATAAGATATAATAAATCTGGTAGATATAAGAAATCTAGTTATCACTAGGAATGTCTATAGTGCAACCGGATTAGTGGCAGCCCTTTTTCAAGACTGAGTACATTCTAATCAAGACCTAGAACTGCAATCTGAGCCCTACCATTTAAAAAAAGAAAACAAAACATCTTAACTCCACGTTCCCAAACAGAAGCGTAAATCGCAGAGTGATGCAAAAACAGGTCACCCACTGTTCAACCTTCTCCTTACCGTCAGATCAGACCCGATGCAGCCGAGCCTGAAGCCGGGGTCAGGCTGAGGCCCGCTGGACCACGTTCCTTCCTGGTCTCAGAAGCCCCGCTAACGCAGTGCTCCAAGAAGCACTCGGCTCCAGCTGGGCGACCTGCGGTGGCTAAACCGCACCCTCGCCCCGGCCTCAGCTGGTTCTCCGCCGGGGCCGCAGAGGCCCTGCTGGGCGCGGGCCACCGTCGTCCTCTCACCCGGCCCTCGCGGCCAGCGGCCTCGGAAGGCGCAGGTTCTCCCCGCGCCCGACCTGAAGAGCCCCACAGACCTGGGATTCACGCCGGCAGCCAAAGCCGGAAACGCCCCCGCCCCGTCCGCGCTCGGGAATTTCCGTTTCACGGCGGAGAAGGCGGGGCACGCCACGTTATTGGTGTAGAATCGGGAGGGGGGGGCTTGAGGACTCCCTTTCCGACCATTGGATGGAGTGTCCGTCCATCAGTACGCAGCCCGGTGGGCGGGGCTCGCGGGGCGAAGGTGGCCCTAGCAACGCGGGTGGAGCGGGTGGAGCGGGCGGGGCGGAGGGCGGGGCGACATGGTGAGTGGGTCCCGGGAAGGAGGGGAGCTTGGGCCTGTGAGGTGGAGCCTCTGCTTCCCTCGGTGCTCCGCAGGAGTCGCCGAGGCGTCCTTCCTGTGGCTCGCTCTGGGCGGCCCGCAATCCCTCCCTTCGGCCGCCGCGCCGCCGCCGCTGGAGGCAAGGGCGTGAGCTGCCCCTGGAGCCGTGAGGCCCGCTCGGCGGCTGCAGCTACGTGAGGCCGAGGCTTCCGAACAGTGCGGGCCCAGGGCTCCTGGGTTCAGAGCTGGAGGCTAGGGCCCCGGCGCGGCCGCCGGCCGAGGCTAGCCCGAGGCCCCGCTTGCCGGCAGAAAACCGCACCTCGCCGGAAGAGGACGCCGCCCAGGCGGCGCGGACACTGCCAGTTGGCGCACCGTCGCCGTCCGGCCTCTGCAGTAGTATTTCGCCTGGGCCGCGTGGCCGTTCGCCCCTCCACCGCTGTACACGGCAGCACGGGGAGGAGACGGGAGCGGCTCTTGTTCCGTGGGGCGGCCCCCCACCCCGTGCTAGGAAACGGGCCTACGTGAAGGTCACTCCTCCTCGGCGAGTGCCCCTCGGATACCCCGCGGGGGGACAGTCGCACCACCGCCACTGCCCGTTCCACCATCTCTCCTTTGCTCCTTCCCCTCTCAAAAGGCACTAATTTTAAGGAAAAAAAATCTAAGTGATAAAAAAGAACCAGGCTTTCCACCAAGTTCTTAATAACCCAAAGCACAAATTTAGTGAGGGGCAACTTTATAATAGCAGGAAGTAGGGTCCTTCAATAAGTTCATTTATCAGATTCAACTATGCGTCCATTATTCTAGGCATGTAGTTTGTCTTTCACCCACGTGTGTATTTATTGCAGGCGTCTGACCAACACACAAGTTCAGAGAAAAGAGCAGCAAAAACTGAAGTGAATGAAATGCAAAAGCAAGAAATTAAAGAGGCCTTTGACTTATTTGATGCTGATGGCTCTGGGACCATAGATGTGAAAGAACTGAAGGTCCTGAAATAATTTCCAATTCCAACACATTTCAAATTCCATGTTTGTGGGATCAGACTTTAACGGTAGTCTTCAGGAAGCTTGAGAGTGTTAACAAACAATATCTTGTTAACATTTAAATCATGTTCTATACGTGAGCAAGCCAAGCCCCGGTGTACAGTATACTGTAGCACAGCTGGGTTGAAACCTGGGACTGCTGACCTCATTTCTAGGTTAATGCTCAGTCCCTGTTAAAAAAGAGAAGCCTGGGCTGGAGTTGTGGCTCAGTGGTAGAGGGCTTGTCTAGCCTGTGAGAGGCACTGGGTTTGAGACTCAGCACAGCATACATTTATTAAATGAATAAAGGTCCATCAACATCTAAAAAAATTTTTAAAAAGAGAAGCTGTTGATTAATGAATATTTAATCAGAATGATATCTTGGCATATTAAAATTTTTTTCTTCCTATTCTAGATTGCATTGCGGGCCTTAGGATTTGAGCCAAAGAAAGAAGAACTTAAACAAATGATAGCTGAAATGGACAAAGAAGGAATTGGCACCATTAGTTTTGAAAATTTTTTTTGCCATTATAAGTGTAAAAATGGTATAGTCATGATATTGTTTTTTTCAGAGAAACACAAACAGTAGCTTTCCAAATTTGAGGGAGGGCTGAAACAGGTTTCATAGAAGAATTTGGGTCTAGAAGTTTCAGATTGGGTGGGACACAGATAAACAGAAATTGCAAGATTAAAACATTCTCAGATTGGTAATGGAGACTGTTGTGGAGAATGGGGTTTGTCGGGAAATAATGAGGACATATGTCAGCATGGACAGAATGGAGCTAGAATTTAAAAACTTGCACTTGGCAAGCATGTTGAGGGCCTGTATTTGCAGGCCTTGTTCTGCAGAGCCTTGAAGGAGCTCTGCGGAGCCTATGTCTTTGGAATGGACCTGAGTGATGAGGGCCAGTATAGGGTGCATTTTCCTGCCTCACTGTGTTCTGCTCCTCAGTTCCTTGAGGGCAAGTGTGAGGGCATTGGGTGGTTAACAGTGCAGCAATCAGCTCAGCTCAGCTGCCCAGTATACTGGAGCGCTAGTGCTCAGAGGCCTGAGAAGATCTGTCTTTAGAATATTTATTTATTCTAGCAGTATAATCAAAGACAAGTGCCAGTTATTTCATATTTTTAAAGGGTGAGAAAGATGAAAAAGAAGAAATATTGAAGGCTTTCAAATTATTTGATGATGATGATACTGGGAGGATAACACTAAGTAATATCAGGAGAGCCGCCAAGGAGCTCGGGGAGAATTTAACAGATGATGAACTGCAGGTAAATCTTGCTTGTTTTTATAATTTATGTGTAATTACAACTTTTGTATAAAATGTTATATTCTAACTTTAGTTGTACATTAAAAGTAAAATTTGATTTCGAGCATGTACTTGAACATTCATTTCTGTCATTCATTTTAGTAGATTTTATATATCATTTTTTGTTTTGTTTTATAGGAAATGCTTGATGAAGCTGATTATGATGGGGATGGAGAAATAAATGAGGAAGAATTTTTGAAAATGATGAAGAAGACCGCTTTTTAATACTGTTCTTTTCTGTCCCATTTGTTATATGATTCAATAATGTAAGATCTGAATGGATTCATTTTCAATTTTTAGTTTGTCCACACAGATTGGTCTCTTGGTGTCTGTGTGAAAAGTTGTGTTTCTACCAATATTGTTATATTTGCCATACAAAGAAACAAAACATGAGAGCTTCCTTGAGCCAGGAATGTAAGAGCAGTGTTAATCCCAACTGCTTTTTTTAAGTGGGTTCCACAGACTTAGAATTTTATTGAAGTTTATTGCAGTTGGCCCCACATCCAAATGAATCTGGCAAACAAACCATTATTATTGTGTGACTAAAAAAGCAGATTAGCATTGTCTTTTTAATCACTTCTTCAAATATGTAAAAAATAAAACTGGTTGGCAACTAAGTTGTTTGCTAAATTTTCTTCTTACATTATTGCTATGGCATGAATGTGGCCCATCCAAAATCTCAGGTGTTGTCACTGTGGGGCCTGGGAGAGCTGAGCAGGCCCTGAGGACCCACCTTCCTGAAGGGGGTTAAGGGCTGTCCTGGGTGCACACAGCTAGGGCTCTCACCAAGCCAAATACTGGTGCCTCCATGTGGGACCTCCCAGCTCCAAAACCCTGAGCAAGAAACGTCTGTTCCCCTTTGGGCTGCTTGCTCGCCCTGGGCGGTAGCACGGCCAGCAGCAGCAGCCCCGTCAGGGCATCACACCGGCACAGGGCCCTAGGAGTATGTGAGAAGCCCATGCAGGTGTCCTGTGGACACTCGTTTCTCTGCATGCCTACAGGAATGTCTGAAGCCCAAGAAACCTGTCTTGGAGGTGTGCTGCAGTGCTCTGGTACCTGGGGCCCCAAGCTGTGCAGCGCCAGAGGCAGATTGAGAGCACAGAGCCTTCTTGCCAAGGCTGCCTGAGAATGTCTGCCTTCCTGTTTGTAGTGGCGCTATCAATCATTATTCGGAAGCAGGTTGTCTTTAAATGCAAGCGAATATTCGATCACACCAATCGAGTGACGAGCTTGAGATGCTCAGGTGCTGCCCCTCCATCACCATCCGTGAGCGGAGTCGCTGCCTCTGCCTTGTTCTTCCATCTGTGGAGCATGAGACCTCTGCCTCCCACACCAGCACCGTGCAACAGACCTGGAAGCGAGCCAGGGCGTTGGGACAGGTCACTTCTGATGGGAATTGGGTCCCCAAGTCAGTGCCCTCTGTTCTGCTGGGCTCTCACCAAAGCTATCTTCCCCACTGTTAACCTTGTTTTGTCACCTGGTCTAGTCACACTGGTCCTCAGTTACTTCCTGGAGCTTCCAGCGCCCGCCTCTCCTGGAGGAAAACCCATCTTCCTCATCTGCACGTGTTCTTGTTTCACACTGTTCCTCCCATCCAGTTTTCATCTCAGATCCTCCCCAGGACCTTTTCTGGGTCACACATAACAATGAAATGAGCGTTTCTTTTCCTTGTCCTGAGGTGTATGAACTCCGGTGACAGTGCAGCCGACCAGAGCTGAAAATCCTCTGCAGTGGAGCTGCTTGTCCATGCGGTGGGCAGTGGCTGCTGGAAGCTGCAGTGTGCACCCGGGAAACATTTCAGGAACCCTCTTGGGGTGAACGTTCTGGGTTTTGCATGATTTGATGCTGGAAGTTTTATTGGTGATACTTTGCTATACTCCTGCAACCCTTAGAATTGGCTGGTTCAGTCTTAAATGCCTGCATGGTGTCTTTTTAGGATAAAGGATAACCATGTATTTCTAGTGGGGGAAAATTAAACAGTATTTTTCTGTAAGTGGGGGAGAGGGTCAGCTAAAATAGTGGGATGGCCAAAGCTTTTTGGTTCCGGTTTTCAAGCTAACAATGTATTTTCAGATGACTGGGTCACATTTACCTTTCTCTCTGGGAGCTTGCATACATTCTTGTCCTGAAGCATGAAAAGGAGTCCTCAAATGATTGAAAAGAAGAAGGTAGGGGGCTCTGAAGGCTACTAGTTGTTTTATCTTTTATTTGGTAACTTAAATTAACCAGCATTATTTTACTGTGACCAATAGTTTCTTTATGACACTTGTTTCAACATCCAAACTGCTGTTTTAAAACCCTGGCTTTCAACTCCTAGAGAGGCTGTGGTGTGCCCTGTTGTCTCTTCCAACAAGCACACTGTCTGCAAGGCACAGCACGCCCTCTGATGAGCTGTGTACTGGGAACGCAGTTCAGGAGCAGTTCAAGAATCGTGAACATATTTCATGAATATTAGTTCCAAGGCTAAGAGCTGCCAGCCTAATGTATAGGAGCAGAATCTCTGATGGACCAAGGGCTTATAGATTTGGTTCATTCTTTCATGTCACACATCTCTAGTTTGAATATGGCAGTTTTTTCCTGGTCGATGGCCAAGGTTGCAAGTGGCTTTGGACCTGTACCCTACTGCTGCGAGCTCTTCCCACCCACCGTGGAAGAGCTAACTGCAGTTGCCTATAACCACCAAAGACAGGGTCTATTTGGGGCAATGTAGTTTTTTCCTAATGTGTTGTTTCTTGGGAGGACATGCCTGTTAAAATCAGCTTCTTCACTGTAATTTCTGAGAAAAGTTCACTCAGAACTCCCTGAATTGAGAGGAGAAGCCTGGAGGGAAGTTTGAGAAAACCTTCCTTGGAGAGGATTGGAAGAGCATGTACATCTCACTGGAGGAACCAAGAAACTAATTTCCTTATGTTAAGTGCACTTTATGTATTTCCAATAAGAGGACTTTCCAGAAAGTGAAATTTTAAAAGGTGAAATATAAATAAATTTCATAATTATATAAAAAAGTCTGTTCCTCATAAATTACCCCATCTGTGTGGCACAGTGGCACATGCCTATCATCCCAGCTACTCAAGAGGCTGAGGCAAGTTCAAGGCTATCTGGGGCAATTTAGTAAAATCCTGCCTCAAAATTAAAACTAACAGGGGCTGGGGTTGGGTGGGGCTGGGGCTCAGTGGCAGAGTGCTGGCCTAGCATGTGTGAGGCACTGGGTTCAATTTTCAGCACTGCATATAAATGAATAAAACAAAGGTCCATCAACAACTAAAAAAAGGGGGGGGGGTGTACTGGGATGTACTGGTAGAGTGCACCTGGGTTTAACCTCCAATATTAAGAATAAATAAATAACCCCGTCTGTTGTATTTTGTTATAGAGCAAAAATAGTCCAAAATAGGCACAGATACCATGAAAACAGGGGTCAAGGGGAGCCATTTTGGAAACTGCTTAGCACATGAACTAAATCTTTGGCTTAGCTTTTACCAGCCAACTGATTAAAAGTTCTAGGGGGTTGGGGTTGTGGCTCAGTGGTAGAATGCCACCTAGCACGTGTGAAGTGCTGGGTATGGTCCTCAGCACCACATTGAAAAAAAAATTAAAAAAATAAAGGTATTGAAAAAAAAATAAAAACCAACTCTTATCTAAACCATACAGGATAAGATAAGAGATAAGATCCTGTATGGTTTATATAAGAGTTGTTTCCCAAAAGCTTATGTGTGAAACAATGCAAGAAAACTTAAGAGGTGCTGGGCATGGTGGCACACACCTGTAATCCCAGCAGCTCAGAAGGCCAAGGCAGGAGGATCACATAGTCAAAGCCAGTGTCACCTACTTAGCAAGACGCAGTCTCAAAAAATGAAAAGGGCTGGGGATGTGGCATAGTGGTTAAGCACCCCTGGGCTCAATATCTGATACCAAAAGGAAAAAAAAGAAAAAGAAAAAGAAAGAAAGAAAGAAAGAGTCCATGAGAAGACTTCGGACTTGGACAAGAAGGAGTCTTTAAATTAGAACTCTTTGAACTTGCCCTTGCCCATGTCTATTTCTATGCATCATTGTTAATGATTGAGGGATAAATTTTTCACATATAAAGCATTAGGTACATTTTTGTTTGGTCTAGAAAGAAATGCAATACAATTAGGACTTAAAGATAACGTGGAAACACTTAAGAATGTTTATGTGCATAAGCGATGAGAGCTTTCATAAAGGACACATGTTGACAAAAGAGAAACCTTCAGTTTTCATTTCAGTTGATTTAAAAGTGATCCAGGTGGTGTCGCTAATGTTACATTTTCCACAGGCTTAACTTGTTCCAAAGACGAATGCATTGTTTCAGGAACAGTTTGTGCTGGACAAGTGGCATTGCTGGCCTGTTGCAGAAGCAGGAGCCTGAGCCCTTCCGCCCAGGGCATCTGGGTTTCAGGCGCCGTGGAGAGCACAGTGCATCCAGCCCTTCCCCTTCACTCAGTGGGGAAGAAACAGAGCAGCCACAGGAGGTGCCAGTGCCCCTGACTAGCAGGTCTCTCCAGGCAGCCACTGGGTGACTGGCTTGCACACACCCCTCTTATGCTAGAGTGGGAGGGCCTTGTCCCCTGCACACCAGGACCAGATTGAGCAGAGGGGCTGGTCATATGCCAGTTCTGCAAGTGGCTGAACAGAACAAGGAAAATCCCTCCCGTCTGTCCTAGCACAAAGGCGACAGACAGGTGCCCACACAAGGGACCAAACTCAGAGGGAAACCCGGGTGACAGCACATACTCTTTTTGTGCCACCTTTCATGCTACATTGTGACCCAAGTTCTCTGATCCTCTTCTGATCCTGAGGCCAACAAGTAAATTTTTTTTAAACTTTTTTGTTGAATAAACTCAGATAAATTAAACTTGTCTAAGGGTTTTTCTTTTAACCAGTAATTATGGGATAGAAACTAAAAGTTTATTAAATGTCATGTAATTACAAATCTATGATATTTATTTTTAGGACTGATCCACATCTTAAAGAAATCTATATGATTTAAAATAAAATGGATCTCTTATTTTGTGAAGCATATTATACTTTTTGAGATTTTGCCTTTAAAACAGATAACAAAAAATTGAATAAAAATGAAAATAAACATGTAATGTTTGGCATACAGACATATATAAAAAGCTTAAGGAGGGCTGGAGTTGTGGCTCAGCGGTAGAGTGCTCGTCCAGCATGTGCGAGGCCCTGGGTTTGATCCTCAACACCACATAAAAATAAAATAAAGGTATTGTGTCCATCCACAACTAAAATAAAATATTTTTTAAAAAAGGCTTCAGGAAATAACACATTTGTGCGATGATCTAACCCAAATTATTCCTAAGATAGAAATCATACTATTTGTTCTTACAAACTTTGAGGGAAAAAGTGGCATTAAATCATAAAGCGCTTGAAAAAAAAGTGTTGACAAGGGTTTTGTGGTTTCAAGTCCCTCTTCCTTATTTGGGCCCAGAGAGTGCAGCATTTCTGCCTGGGAGGTGGCCCTGGTAGAAGAGAAGCAGAGAGTTCTGTGCGTGGAGGTTGCAGAGAGCAGCAGGTGCAGGTGCAGGTGCAGGAGGAGTCGGGCCTCCTGGAGGTCCAGAGGGAGCTCAGCACTGTGCTAGGAAGGAGGATCCCCTCAGGTCCTCAGGAGGGTCCCCTGGGATGCCAGCCTACAAAGGCCCAGTCCAGTGACTGCACCCTCATCTTGGTCCCAGCCCAGCGGGAGACCGGTCCCCCAATCCACAAAGGAATCAGGTCAGCAAACGCAATCCAGTCCCCTCACCCTAGAAAGGGGGTCAAGAGTGTCAGGGTCGATCCCCTTACATTAAGTAACTGATTAACGTATTATTGGATAAGGGCAGATGTGCTGCTGGGCACCCTGGGATGGCATCCCAGGAAGGGGCCTGTGTGGCAGCTCCCTGGGCCAGGCACTGGAGGGGGCTAGACGGTCCGTTTGGGTTTCGTGGGCCTGGACCCCCAGCTCCCTGGATGGCAGGTGCTTGGCCAGAGTAGACAACTAGGGTGCTTTAAGGCAGAGGTGCAGATTGGTCATTGGACACGGAGGGGTGGGCATGAGGGCTGGGTGGGGGAGCTCTCCCAGGGTGAGGTGCAGAGAGACTCGAGCCTCTGGAAGTACAGGCTGCTCCCAGAAGGCAGGTGGGCGCTGCACATAGAGTTGGGAGAGGTGGAGGCCAGCCAGGCCCTGAGGTGCTTTTGTGGCTCCTTGCCCTAACAGGCAGCCAAAAGCTTGGTGGGGCAGAAGCACTGGAGCAAGTCCTCATCCTCTCCTTGACTGGCTCCCACAGTCCCCGGAAGTCCCTGGGCTTGCCTGCCACAGGACAAGATCCCCTGCCTTCTCAAGGTAGGCAGAGTGTCATGGTGGTGGGGACTCAGACAACCCAGGGTCTGCAGGACAGTACCTACAGTTGCTGGCCCCATCCAGTGGCCGGTTCCTCCTGGGAACAGAATTGCCAGCCTCCACCCTGGGCAGGTGGAATACTCAGCTCCCAGATCCCCACATCCTCCTTTCTCCCACACCGGGAAGCCCAGCTTGGGCTCTCCACCCCGGGGGGTGGCCAGCACCCTACCCGCTGGGGCAGCGAGACCCCCGCAGCAGGACCCCGCAGCCGCTGGCCTGCTGAGCGAGTGCAGCCGAGCGTCCTCAGCTTCGGGTCTCACAGTTCAGCAGGGGTCAGAAGGCCGCACCGCCCTCCACCCCTGGTTCTTTTTGCCTCCTGTCCTGCACACGAGGAACTCCCGCTCAGACCGCGGGATTCAGCAAGGCCTCCTCCCTGGAGTGGCCCTGACACCACCCCTGTGGCCGCGGCCGCCTCTGGGCGGGGTCGCGAGCTTTGAGGGTCCCGCCCCCTCTCCTGGCCCTGGGGCCCCGCCCCTCGCAGGCCTCGCTCATAGAGGCCACGCCCCACGGTCCCCGCCCGTTACAGGCCCCGCCCCTCCGGACCGGCTGCGGCACACGCGCTGGGACAGTTGGTACCCAGGCCAACCGCCCCGGGCGGCGTCCACCTGGCGGGGAGCGCGGGCATCATGCACCTGCAGGCGTCTGGGCACAGATCGCCCCGACTAAGGAGCGGCCCCTTCCTGCCCGCGTCCAGGGGTCAGCCCGAGGACCCCGGCCCGCGGCCGTCCACTCTGGTGTCGCCTCATAGGATAGCAGGTAACGAAGGCCCGGAGGTGGGCCAGGTGTGGGGGACGGAGAGGGCGCTGGGCGGGGGGCGTCCGGCGGCCAGGTGGGTCCTGCTGCCCCCGCCCATCGCGCCACCGCAGCGGCCAAGGTCGCCGAGCCGAGCCGCGGGCCATCCCGCAGGGCGAGGCCGCCAGGTCCGCAACCGAGCATGGGTACCGACAGGTGAGCCATTTCCACTGCTGTTCCTTCCGCTGTGCGTCCCTCGGGCTCCAGTCTTTGATCAGCTTTGTCCCGAGAGACTGGACTTGGGAAGGGGGATTTGGGTTTCAGCTGAGGCCCTTTCGACAAGTTGACCCCTTCCAGAGCCACCCCATCCGCTAGGTGACCCCTGGTTTAAGGGGTGTGCCCTGGGAGTGTGCACCCAGTGCCAGGCAGGACTTGGGAGTTTGCTGGGAGGTGAGGGGAAGGACGTCCCACCGCACATCTGCAGTGGTGGTCAGGGTCTTGGAAGGACACCGGCTTCTGAAGGAGGACTCGTAGGGCAAGCTCAGGGGAGGGGCGCAGGGGCCCTCCTCTCACCCTCTGCTGCTGCCATGGCCAGGCAGAAAGGGTTGACCTGGCTGGTGGCGGTGGGGAGCCGGCTTCCTGCGGACAGCCAGCTCCAGGGCACAAGCAAGGGGGGCAAGTGCACCCCCAGCCATGCAACCCCCAGGGGATGCTAGTTTACCAGAGGACAGGCAGCCAGCCTGAGTGACTGACAGGTGAATGAGCTGGGGGCTGAGCCACTTCTGGCCTGGAGTCTACCTGGACCTCCAGGCTCACTCTCCTTACCTGTCCCCGAGGATCCACAAGGCAGGGCTGTTTCCACGATGGGGACAGGGTGGACAACCATAAACCCTCATTTGCCCACACGGACTGGATCCCTTTGTCATTTTTCCAACTTGGGAAGCTTTGTACACTAACGCAGTGGTTTCCCCTTAGCGGGTGGAAGCCAGCGAAGGGTCATTGCTTTCAGCAGGTAGGAGAGCACCGAGAACTGCCCAGAGCCAGGGGTGTTCCTGGGGAGACCTGGGAAGGGTCCTACTGCAGAGACCTGGCATGGCCCTTGGGGCAGATACTTCCCAGACCTGCAGTTCAAGGTCGCTGGCTTCCACCCGCTAAGGGCAAATGGACCAGTCCAGGGCCTGTGCATGCTGTGCACACCCAGCTCCTCCTCTGACTAGAGGGAAGTCTCTCCAAGTTCAGGGGGAGCTAAGATGAAGCACATGAAATCCTAGCCTAGGAGTAAGGTGTGTGCAGTTCTGGGAAGAAGATCCTGGGTTCAACGCCTGCCTCAGCAATTTAGAGACACTGTCTGGAAAACATAAAAGGGGCTGGGCATGTAGCTCAGTGCTAATGCACCCCTGGGATTAGTTCATTTTCCTCTGCTCTGCCATAGATACTGGGATCTTTCTCGACTCTGAGTGTGAGGCCCTTGGGGGCTCCTGGAGATGATCCATGAGGGTGTGCCTCCCCTGAGTGAGCAGCCTGGAGACTTTTGCTCTTGGACTCATCACCTTGGAGACTACACCAATTTGAAAATTAGAGTTTGAGATTTCCTACCCTTGGAGGAGCCCCCTGAGGTTTCTACTTCGGGATTGCTGCCCTAATGAGTCGTCATTCTCGAAGTCTCTACATGTGTCTACAACTTCCCAGGGCCTAACGCATGCCAAGCACAGTCTACCACTGAACTACAGCCCCAGCCCTTGGCTCTACCATTTTGAGACCAGCAGTTTGCCCTGTGACCTCGAGTCTCTAATGGATGTGAGGAAAGTGGCTAATTTTCAGTGAGTTCATTTTTGTATTACGCTTGTTACGGTGGAACAACAACTTCTATCTCCCTATAGACACAACCAAGTTAGAAGTCATCCTGTGTTCTTTTTATTCCTCTATTTCACTGTCAAAGTTTTGCTCTTTGATAGTTTGTAATTGCTTGTTGTTTCTTCATTTCATTTCTCATCCCTCATATTTCCTTGGATATTTATTAACATCTTTATTTGCAATGCTTTGAACCTTTAATTCACCTGAGCTGTTTCTCTCTTCTCCTGGATCCAGTGTTGAACCACGAATCCATTCACCTTCACACCCATTTCCTCTACTAAATGTTAAGGCCCGCTGCTTGGTCACATCTCATGCTTTCTTCACGTCTGTGCCTCCCAGTACTGATGACTGCATGTTCGCTGTGCTTACCCTGTGCTCGCCTAGTTATTCAGAGTGTGTTTAATCATACTCCAAATAATTCAGCCATCACTTTATGGCTTTGTCTTAATTTAACTCGGTTTATTGTTAATTTAGTTTATGTGCTGAGAACCTGCGGCCTATTTGGTAGAGCATTTTGAGGGCTAGCTGAGATTTTTTTGTGGCCAGAACAATAAGGTCATGTTTGAGGGAAGTCCTGCAGGTGTCCTGAATTGGGCCAACAGGCTTTGCTGTAGGAACTGTCTGTGGCATGATGTGGTGAAGCTATACAAGCGCTGCGTGTCTGAACACAGAACAAAATCTCTGAGGCTTAATTCATCAGGCTTATTATTTCCCCTCAAGAGCTGCACTTGGGAGTGGCTGACCCTCTAAGAGGGCTGACTGCCCCTTGTGACCCAGGCTGCAGGTGCTTCCGTCTCAGAACTGCTTCTTTGTGACCATGAAGCCAGAGCAAGAGAGGAAACATGGGCTGGTAGGTTGCCCTGTAAGTGCGGCATGGATTCTGCTCATGTCCTCTTTGTCAACATCAGTTACGCAAGGGGACTGGGAAGCCGGGGAAATCCCGATGATACACGCTGTTAGGCTGTACAGTGACTGGGAAGATGCCTCCTGACTCGGTGGAAGAGCAAGGTGCAGAGCAGGATGTAGCCTGCTGTGAGGTGTGGAGGCAGCGCAGGACTGAGACCATACGGGTAGTGACTTAGTGAATGAAGAGGAAAGGAAAAGGAGATCAGAGTAGGGACTGAGAGTGTGTATTAACAACAGATTTTACTATTAAACAGACATTTTAAATGTTCATAGTAGAATCAGAGAAATGAAATGAAAATAACAAACTGAAAAACTGGACTAATGACCTTGTATATTAAAACTACAATATTGGTGGCCGGGGTGTGGCTCAGCAGTAAAGCGCTTGCCTCCCACGTGTGAGGCAGTGGGTCAATCCTCAACACCACATAAAAAAGTAAATAAACAAAATAAAGATACTATGTCTATGTACAAATAAAAATTATTTTTTTAAAACCCTACAATATAAAAGGACAATTGTTCCAAGTATCTTACAACAATATGACATTAAAAATAATTTCGGATTCTTAGGATCCATCTCTAAATTCTCACTAGAATTTTTGAGGCGGCCCAGTTTGCTCTGATTGCAGGAGCTGGAAGATCTATAAGGAGAACAAGGGGCACCTGAAAGACAGGAAATGGACTTGAAACAAATTTATACCTGAATTAGAGGAATTGTGATGAGCCATATGAACAAGTTTTTGTTCTTCCTAATGTTGAATAGTATGTGTCTTTGCTCTGAAATGATTGTGGAAAATAGAGTTCAGTGGTTTCTCTTAAAGTGGTGTTGATGCTGGGAACAGCAGAGGACATTCATTAAATAAAAGTATCAGTGCATGGATCTTGACCAGCCCAGGGCTCCTAAGAGAGAAAAGCTTACTACATTGTCCCTTGCTTAAAAGAAGAGGCAATAATCAACCCATTAGATAAGTAGACATACAAGTATATGAATAACCAAGGGAACAGACCACCCCAAACAGCCCACTTTACAATGACTCCATGACACCACCGAGGAGGAAATGTCAGAGAAAGAGTTTAGCAGATTCATCGTTAAATCTTCAAGGAGTCAAAAGAAGGTAGGAAATTAACTTAAGATGGAAAATACAGGAAGGGAAAGATTTCAATAAGGACTGATTCTGAAAAAAGAACCAAACAGAAATTCTGGAAATGAAAGAATCAATAAATAAAACTAAGAGTTCAATGTAAAGCAACACCAATAGATGAGAACACTTTGAAGACAGATTTTCGGTACTTAACAACAAAGTATATAATCTTGAAATAATGTCAACAATAAAAAAAGATGTAAAGAGACTATGGCCAGAATATTCAAGAAATATGGGAAAACATTGAAACTAAATTTAACAATCATTGGGGTAAAGGGCTACAAAATACAAACTAAAAGGATGAACATCTCTTCAATGAAATAATATTAGAAAACTTTCCAAACCTTAGGGATAAGATGGAAATAAAAATATAGGAAGCATATAGAACCCCACATAGGCGTGATGAAAAAATGTCCGCTCCAAGAGACACATAATGAGATTGTCTAACCCAGAGAGTAAGGGCAGAATCTTAAAACCTGCAAGGGGAAGATGGCTGGCTACATTTAGAGGTGAAGCAGCTGGATTTCAACTGCTATTGCAGTGCAGATACTAAAAGTCAGGAGGGCTAAAACTCTCCAATCAAAAGACATAGCTTTGAAGATTGTATTATAAAACAAGACCCAACCATCTGTTATTAACAAGATAGTCACAAAGACATCCACAGACCGAAGGGGAAAGGATGGGAAAAGACATATTATGCAAATATAAAGCAAAAGCAAGGGAACTACTCTCATATCTAAGTGGACGTCAAGCCTAATTTAATCAGAAGAGAAAAAGAAGGTCACTTCATTCTTGTTAAGGGAATCATTCAACAATGACATATGATTATAAATATTTATGGTCCAAATTTATGCATCTACATAGATAAAACAAACTGTTCTCAATATAAACAATCAAACAGACCACAACATAGTAATACTGGGTGCTTTCAACACACCTCTGTCACCATTAGGTAGATCATTCAAACATAAACTAAGACTCTTCAGACCTAAAAAATACGATTAATCAAATGAACCTTACAGACATGTATAGATTATTTTATCCAATGACAGCTAAATTCACTATCTTCTTAGTGGCACATGAAACATTCTCTAAAATATATCATATATTGAGGCACAAAACAAATCTTAGCAAATATAATCACAAAAACATTCCACTCTTATTTAACACAGTCATTGAAACTCTAGCCAGTGCCATGGGGCAAAAGAAGGAAATTAAAAACAGGCAAATAGGAAAAGAAGCCAAATTATCTCTTTGCTGATGACATGATCCTGTGTTGTGAAGACCCAAAAAGCTCCACCAGGAGACTTCTATACCTGATAAGTGCATTCACCAAAGTAGCAGCCTACTATATCCAAATACATGAATCAATTGCTTTCCTATACTCCAATAATAAATCTGTTGAAAAAGAATTGGGAAAACTATGCCCTTCACAATACCCTGCCCCCACCAATAAAACACTTAGGAATAAATCTAAGCAAGGAGATGGAAGACCTCTACAGGGAAAAGTATAGAACACTGAAGAAAGATTGCTTTAGAAGATGGAAAGACCACCCATGTTCTTGTATAGGTAGTTAATAATAGTGTAATAATAATTGTCAAAATGGCCATACTAGCAAAAGTGTTATACAGATTCAATGCAATCCCCCTCAAAATACCAACGACATTCTTCTCAGAACTAGAAAAAAAACAGTTCCAAAATTCTTTGGGAAGAATAAAGAGACCCAGAATCCTGAACAAGAAAGGCAGTGCTGGAGACATCGTGATACCAGACCTCGTGTAGTGTCAGAGAGTATGGTCATAAATAAAACAGCATGGCGCTGCTGCACAGACAGACCTGAAGACCAGTGGAATGGAATAGAAGACACAGAGACACACCCACATGATCACAGTCATCTGGTCCTTGACAGTGGTGTCCAAACATACCTTGGAGAAGAGAAAGCTTTTTAAACAAAAAGTGCTAGGGAAACTGGATATCCGTATGTAGAAGAATGAAACTTCATCTACGTCTCTCACCCTGCACAGAAGTCAAAACATAACGTGGATCAAAGACCCAGGAATCAGACCAGAAACGTTACAAATGCTAGATGAGAATATAGGTTCAACACTCCAACTTTGACACAGGGATTGACTTCCTTAACAAGACTCCCAAAGTATAATAAATAAAACCAACAATAAGTGGAATGAATCAATTTAAAAACTCTGCACAGCAAAGGAAAAATTGAGAACTTCAAGATAGAACCTACTGAGTGGAAGATCATTGTCACCTGCTCCTCAGATAGGGCATTAATATCCAAAATATATAAAGAATGGAAAAAATAAGACACACACATGCACACACACACAAATACAGAAACAAGAATAAACAAAAGAACCTAATTAATAAATTGGCAAAAGAACTAAAAAGATAACTTCTCAAAAGAGGAGATTCAAATGGCAAATTAATATATAAAAACTATACAACATCTCTAGCAACCTGAAGTCTGCAGACTGAAACTGCACTGAGATTCCATCACACTCCAAACACAATGCCAATCATCAAGAACAGAAATAATAATGAGTGCTGGCTAATATTTGGTGAAAAGTTACATTTATACATTGTTGGTAAAACTGCAGGTTACAACAAGAACTCTGGAAAGCAGTATGGAGGTTCCTCAAAAGATTAGGAATGGAATCACCATATAACCCAGGTATGACACACCTTGGTACTTATCTAAAATCAGTAAAATCGGCATACTACGGTGATATTGCCACCTCATATTTGTAGCAGCACAATTCACAATAGCCAAGGTCAACCTAGGTGTCTATCAAGATATGAATGGTTAAAGAAAATTTATGCATGTGCACATGTACATGCGTGTGCATGCACACACACACACACACACACACACACTGGAGTATTACTTAGCCATGAATAAGAATGACATTATTGCATTTTCTGGTTAAAAGATGAAAGTAAAGAGCATCATGCTAAGTTAAGATAGCAATGCTTGGTCTGTTTTTGACTCCATATAAGATTCACAGCACAGAACTGAGAAGTCACACTGGAAAGCCTTTGCCAGGTAGAGAGGACTGTGATGCTTGTTGGAACTGCAGGTCCCCAGGGAAGCCCTTCCATAAGTGTGGGCTGACGGAGGTGTGGCTTTGAATGTGTGAAGGAGGCATTTCCGCTCCGCTCATGGCCAGAGTCTGGGGCCCTGGTTCCATTTTCCAAAGGAACCAACCAACATCTTGGGGTGGGAAGCTGGAAGCTGGGTTTAGGGTGAGAGTTGTGGTGGTGTAGGGTGAGGGGGCTGTCCCTAGAGAAAGGGACCCTGGTTGCACAGACCCGGCCCATTTCCTATGAACATCCTCCTCCATCCACTGAGGCAACACAGACTTTCTCATTATTTCTGCCTTTCCCCCCAAACCCAAATGAGAAGATTCACTTTGTTGATTTGCAAGAAGATATTGTTATGGTTTGGATGCGAGGTGTCCCCCAAAAGCTCATGTGTGAGACAATGCAGGAAGGTTTAGAGGTGAAATGACTGGGTTGTGAGAGCCTTGACCCACTGAATGGATCCCCTGATGGGATGAAGTGAGTGGTAATGGAAGGTGGCTAGCGGTGGCTGGAGGAGGTGGGCGTTGGGGGTGCAGCTGAAGGAGGTGGGTGTTGCAGGCATGGCTGGAGGTGGTGGGCATTGGGGGCGTGGCTGGAGGTGGTGGGTGTTGCAGGTGTGGCTGGAGGTGGTGGGCATTGGGGGCGTGGCTGGAGGTGGTGGGTGTTGCAGGTGTGGCTGGAGGTGGTGGGCGTTGGGGGCGGGGTTGGAGGTGGTGGGCGTTGGGGGCGTGGCTGGAGGTTGTGGGCGTTGGGGGCGTGGCTGGAGGAGGTGGGCATTGGGGGCGTGGCCTTGGGACTTATATTTTGCATCTGGCTAATAGAGTGTATCTCTGCTTTCAGATCATCATGTGAACCGCTTCCCTCACCACACTCTTCCAACATGACGTTCTGCCTCACCTGAGGAATAGAGCTGGCTGTCTATGGACTGAGATCTCCAAACCGTGAGCCTCTAAATAAACTTCTCCTCCTCTGCAGCTGTTCTAGTTAGGTATTTACTCACAGCAGTGAAAAAGCTGACTAAGACAGATCTGAAAACTGCCCAATGTTTCAGGTGAAGCAGGGAATATTTGCCACGGTGTGTAAATAGAGCTGGACCAACAGGGTGGACTCTCAGGGTTCAGAGTCAGCGAGAGGGTGTGGGGCTTTCTCCTGGAGTCCTGTCCCCTGATGTCTGACAGACGGCTGCCCTAGCAGCCTTGGGAAGTGTGATAATTAGCTTTTCATCACTGCAACAAAATACCTGAGCAAAATGACTTAGAAGGAAGAAAGAGCCGAACATGGTGATGCACACCTGCCATCCTAGCAGCTTGGGAGGCTGAGGCAGGAGGATCACAACTTTGAGGCCAGTCTTAGCAATTTAGGGAGGCTCTAATTAACTTAATTTCATTTATCTCAAAAAATAAAAAGAGGGCTGTAGATGTGACTTAGTGGTAAATTGCCCCTGGGTCCAATCCCTAGTACTCACCTGCCCCCATAAGAAAATAAATAAATGGAAGAAAGTTTTATTTTGGCTCACTTTTTCAGAAGTGAAAGTGTGTGGTTGCTTGGCCCTGTTGTCCTGGGCCCCTGTCAAGGCAGAACATCAGGACAACAGGTTTGTGGTGGGGCATCTGCTTACCTCGTGGTGACCTAAAAGCAGGTAACCTTCAAGGCCACGTCTCCAACTACCTATTTCCCCCAACTAGGCCCCGTCCCCCTAAGATCCTTTAAATTCCTAAGAGTCCCACAAGTAATGTACCCTCATAATGCATTTTGAGGTCAGGGACATTATGGTCCAGTCACCTGCCCACGGCCTACCTCTTAACACGGCTGCATTGGGTTGCAAGCCTTCAAGCTTTTGGGGTGTTTGTGATGCAAACCATGACCTCCTGTCCCCAGCCCCCATCACCTGGTGTCCATCGCACAGTGTGAGCCTCATTTGGTCCATCTCATGGCTCCCATAGTCAACAGGCTCCACGTGGCTCTAACAGCAAGTCCAAGTTTCCCCTCTGACCCCAGGTGGGCTCTTTGATGTGAGCCACTGGGGAAATCAGAAAATAAATCGGACACTCTCAGATACAGTGCAGGAGACCAGGAAAACAGTGAGGAGGAACTGGGCCAAGAAAGGCCAGAACCCACCCTAGTGGGCGCCAGTTCCCTGCTGGGTTCTGGTTCTGGGTCATGTTTGGTCTCCGAGACACAGTGGCATGATATGAGCCCCACAGGACCAAACCTTCAGCATCTGAGCTATCGGGGCCCTTTAAGGTCCAAACCACCATGGGGGCATGTGGACATTGCTTGGGATGTGGGTTCAGTGCAGGCTTGGGGTCAGAGGGTCCTCAATTCAGAGCCATTCTCCTCCTCCTCCTCCCCTCTATGCCACAGTGGACGTGAACCTGAACTCTGCCAGCCGCAGGTCCATGCTCATTCAATGGTCTTTACTGAGCACCTACTGTGTGTGTCTTTGTGCCAACCACCAAGCACCCAGAAGCCAGTGAGATACAGTGAACCTCCCATGCCAAAAAGGGAGTGGCGGTTTCAGCCTCAAGGCCAGGGACTGGCTCACTGGGACACATGGGCAGCGTGTGCCGCGTGGTGGCACTCAGTTAGCACCCACGTCCTGCTTTCCTGTCTCCGGCCACACCACAGTCTTGAGTCAACTGTGAGGTGCCGAGGAGGGTCCGAGGAAGCCCATGTTGGCCTCAGCAGGAAATGCTAGTCCTGGCTTGCAGAGTGCCCCTCTGGGCTCTCCTGCGTGCTTTCTTCTCTACCCTCGAGTTCAGACGAGGTTCTGGGGCTTTGTGATGTTCATGGCCGTCTTCTCCTTCTTCAGCTTCTTGATTTTCTGTGGTACATCCTGACGTTCCCTCAGGGCTACCTTCCAGTTCACGAGTGCTCTCTCCAGCTGTGTCGCGTCTGCTCTGTGACCAGGCATTCCAGGTCCCTGCCACTCTTGGGGGCTCTGTGTGTGTTTCTCCTGATTCTGGAGGACAAGTGGCGCTTTCCTTACACAGGAAGTAGAAAGACCTCCCAGGACTCAGAGCCGTCAAACTCAAGACGAGCAAAACACCGTCTGGGAAGTGTCCGGAGCAGTCCTCTGGAGAGCCCCGAGAAGACGGGCCAAAGTTATTTTGGGGGCAGGGAGCCTGCTGAGGACTCAGTGGGGAAGGGGCTGAATGGCCCGACACACTGGGTCAGCTATCTGGACGGCTGTCGGCTGCAACCCCACTTTAGTAGTCGCCTGGGAGGTGGGGAGCCCAGCACGTGTGAGTCTGGCCCAGGGCAGTGCTCTGGGGGTGAGGACCGTGCATCCAGGGAGGGAGGCAGGCACTCACAGGGGTCTCGACCTCCCTGAGCCTCAGTTTCCTTATCTGCAGAGTGGACACCAGAGCTGCCGGCGCCCAGTGTGACCTTGGTCAGACCCACACCTGGCTCTCCTTTGCTCCTGCTGCAGGACGGGGTCGCACACCCAGGCCTGCCTGTCCCTCCATCCCTCTGAGCTCACTCATCATGCCCACGACCTGGGGCCTTGCAACTCCTCTGCCTGGCCCTGTTCCCCCAGATCCGGCCAGGGCTGGGTGGTCTCCCTCAGGGGGCTCCTGCAGCCTGTCCTCCGGGTCCTGGTCCTCCTGTGCTTCCAGGGAGTGTCTCATGGGCTTTCCTGACAGGACGTCCTGACAAGGGAGAGCACCGGAGCCATCTCTGTGTGCTCCTAGAGGTCTCCTGGATGCTTGGCCTCATTCCTGCCATTTCCTCCTTTGCTATTTGTTGCTTTTCCCTTTCATTTGGGTTAGGCCACAGCTATTCCTTGGGGTTCCTTGGGGTTCCAATTAACATGACCAAGTGATGTGAGCCCAGAGCAGCGTCACGCCCATGGGGTCCTAGCATGCCCCCCTACAGCTCCAGGGCATCCCCTTCAGTCACCTGTGTCACAGAGCTGCAGAGCATGCATCCTGGGTTCAATAACCTGCGCTAAGCCCTGGAGGAGATTTTTTTCATACAGTATTCTCTTTAATCACAGGGAAGACAAAAGCAGCACAGTGTTGACAACTGTCATGAATTTGTGTTCACCAGAGCTCTTTCTGTCCTCCTCCAGCTGTGAGTTCCCATATAATGTCCTTTGGATGAATCAAAAGGATTCCCCTGATGCAGGGCACATCTAGTGACCAAGTCCTAGACCTGGGGCTTGAGGGCTTTTACTCCAACAGTCCTGTTGGAAGTTCAGCCACGGTGCAGCACTATGGAGAAGAGGGCCTTCAGGAGGGGGTTGGGCCATGAGGCTGTACATCAGAAATGGGACTTGTCTGTTTAGAAAACAGTTCCTACGCATCCTGCACAAGGCCTACATTGTGTTGACAACAAATGTAATTAAGGCTTTTATTATTGCTATGAATTTGCATGTGCAGAGACCTTAGTGTCTTTCCCCGTCTCTGAATGTCCAACGTCATTCAGTTCAGCATGAGAGACTCCTCTCATGAAGGCAGGTCCAGGGGTGTGGTCACTTCCTTTTTGTTTCCCTGTGCTGTGATTTGAAGAGGGTGTCCTTTCAAATGTGCCATTGAAACTTTCAATGCCAATGCATCAGTGTTGAGCGGAGGGCCTTCAGGAGGTGGTGAGAACAATGCTCTGCCTTCCTGGGTGAGATATGCACCTTACAGCGAGACCTTGTCTAGCAGGCAAGGAGGTCCGGGTTCCACCCTCGGCACCAAACATGCATGCACGGTCACAGGCACAAACACACACAAACACTTACACTGCTTAGCATGGAGATAACTATCTCTACTTCTTGTCGGTTGGGAGGCTGAGGCAGGGGGATTGCAAATTCAAGATTAGCATAGGCAAATTATCGAGACCCTTTTTCAGAAGAAAATAGAAAGATCTGGGAAAGTAGATCAGGAGTAGAGCTTTTGCAAACATGTATGACATTCTGTTTCCATAACTATTACCAGGGAAGAAAGAACAAAAGACAATGAAAAGGGTTTGAAGGAGTGACTTCAATCCTCTGCCCTTTCAGCATGGGGACCTGGAAACAAGGTACCATGCTAGTACCCCTAGGTAACTCAGAGGGGCTAAAGGGCACAGGCCTGCAGCAGAACTGTCAAAGGCAGAGTCCTGTGCCGCTGTTAGAGGATAAAGCATCACCACTGCAAGATTTAACTCCTTGAGAATTCGGTCAAACAACAGAGCAAGCAGCAGCCCCTAAGCCGCTCTGGGGGAGGGCAGCCTCTCCACCCCTGCTGCCCTCGTGGCCTGCGACATGGGGCGTCTTTGTGCCATCTGGGTGTCTCCGCAGGATGAACTCGGGCTCATGGCTCCTCCTGTCCATGATTCCCTATGAAAGTGGCGACCGGGCACCATCAGTGTCAGGTCACGCACAAGGTCCGCCTTTCTGCCCTGGGCAGCTCAGGGTCTTGTCCCGTTGGAACAGTTTGGGTCACATGTTGCTGTTGGGGGACCTCAGTAGGTCTCTGAAGTCAGCAGTCCCTTACACATTTATGCTAGGACATTACTACCTGCTCTTCCAAGGCTGCAAGGAGGAGGCCAGAGAATGCAGTATCTGATCACTGATGGAGCACAAGTTCATCATGAGATTTTTGAGAAATGGAAACGGAATAAGAAGTTATTGAAAAGCATCTCTCCCCCTAGAGTCATTGGAGAAAGAGCACGGGAGAGCAGGGAAGGGGTTGGTGTCCTAGGAGAGCCCCTAATGTCTGCTCCAGGTGGGGCGCAGGGGCCCACTGATGTCCATGTGTCTTCAGGTGGCCTCCTGCCTGAGGAATCTGGGAGGCAGTGGCCAGAGCACGTTGCACTTCTTCCTCCAACAGCTGGCCCTGTGCCATCCATCTTGGGACACAGAGAGGGAAGGAGCCAGGTGGACCTAACCCTTGCAGCACCCTGCAAATGAGGAAGTGCTAATTTGTCCTTTTAAAATGACACCAATCAAAGCACATGTGAAATCACAGGTGGCACTGCCCCCCTTGGCTCCACAGATGTCCTGGCTGTTGCCATCCACTGAGTGGAGTCACGTGTCCGTAAGTCGAGTGGTGGTGTGTGCCCTCCTCAAGTGGGAGCAAATCAGTTCTGGCATCCGGGACTTGTCCTGGGGGCCTGCACAGCAATACAGCCAGGGGACACAGGTGGTCATCCTCCTGGCCACTCCTATCCAGCCCCTGGTGGTCACGGGTAGAGCCAGGGGACTGGTACCAGCGAAGCTTGCTCAGTGGAACAGGAGCTTGGTTCCAATGTCAGGGGCTGGGAGAACAGGCTCTCCAGCCTTCACCACTGCCACTTGGCCAGCAGCTGGGCGGAGGGGCCACAGGCTGGGAATTGGCTGCTGGCAAGCAGGCTGCACAGGAAAATGGCAGACAGGTTGGGTCTCCCACTGGCCCTCTGCTGTGATGTCTGTGCTCCTTCTGTGGCTGCCCGTGTAGGACAAAAGGGGCCAGGAGCGAAGAGCAGGTTGCTGGCACCCCTCCTCGGGCCCAGAGTCCAGTTGGAGGGGTTGGAGGGCTATGGGTAA